ATCACTATAACATTATATAAATGGACCAATCACTATAACATTATATAAATGGACCAATCACTATAACATTATATACAGGGACCAATAACCAAGATCTGAGACAGTCTGCGTGTTACAACACTGCCCTCTGCTGGTCGGCTGCAGAAGATTCATGACTGTCTTCATACTATACTTCCACAGGAGAATAAATTGATTTTACAACATTAAATTAATACCTTGTCTGAATTAACACACTGTTGTTTTCTTATGGTAAACCTAACATGATTTAGCTCTACAGGTAATATAACCTATTCTATTATTGTATTTTTGATTATCTAAACAGTCAGCTGCAGAAAAAAAGGTTGATTATCACACACAGTCCAGAGGATAAATCTACACACTGAATTAATTGTTTTTTCTTTAAATGAAACCTTAGCTTTACATTTTGGAAATCATGTTTCTGAATTTCCCTTTTAATTTCCCTTTTGCAATAATGTATTTCAGTTTATTGTTTATGGAACGCAGCACAGTGCCACAGGGAACCGCTGCGGTTGTTAATATTGAGATTGTTATTGAAATTGTTTATGACTGAGTTTTTTTGTTAACTTTGTAATGAAACAGTTGAATGAAAATGTCTCAGGGTTTTTTCAGGGCTTTGGAGAATCTTGTCAGACAGTGACTGTAAATTAAACTGGTTTTCACATAATGAGTTTGATTTGTTCACGTAGTTTCAACAGATTATGAAGAAAAGAGATTCTCAGGAAAGTTTCCAGGAATTAAGGTAAATGCTTTGACACATGTTTATTATTTATAGTGCTCTAAAAAACCTCCTGGGGCATTTAAAATTTCATTTTCTTTATTAACCCCAAGGGAAATTAAAGGTTGCAGTAACTAATGGGCAGTGCTTCAATGTTGCTGCTGCAGGGAGGAAAGATCTGCTGTAGAGGTCTGACCTGCACCGGATCTGCAGAAGCATCTGACTGAAGACACTGTTGGTGTTTAAAATCTTCTGCAGAGGCTGGTCACTGTTGTCCATGATGTTTGCTTTATGGAACGTTCTTCTCTGTGAAATCATCTCCAGATGTTTTAGAGGAGTTCCTGGAACTGAGCCGGCCTTCTTTAGCAGCTTAAGGTTTTTAAGTCAACAGCTCTGATACTGTTATTGCAGCAGACGATGGCAGGAGAGATGTCACTATTCACAACAGAAGATCTGTAGCATCTGGCTGCTGAACCGGTTCTTTCGGTTTAATCTGTATGTTTTCTAAGCCAGAACAAGGCTTTATTGGTCCACTCTAGGAAGCCTGGAACTCTAATCCACTAATCTAGAAATGTTGAATTGAAAAAGCTTCCTGGTGGGAAGAGAAACGTCTTCAAAATAGGAAAACGAAGTCCACTGGTTTGTTATTTAACTTTTTTTGGAATCACCAAGGGATTTCTACTTCCTCCTCCACTTCTTCTCCCAGGATGTTAACAGGCTTCAACTTGTTCCTCTTTCTTCTGAAATCATCTCCTTGTTTTGTTGACCTTCAGGATCAGACACCATGCCACAAAACGCTTCACCAGCTCTCTGTCCTCAGCTTCTGCTCCATCTTTGATGCTCCCAATGACTGCAGAGTCATCCCAGGTCTGCTGCAGATGGCAGGACTCTGTCTGGTCCTGGAAGTCAGAGGTGAATAAGGAATGGAGAGAGAACCGTGCTCCGTGGTGCTCCTGAGCTGCTGGATCAGACAGCTGAGCCTTCAGTCTACCAACCTGTGGTCTGTTTGTCAGGTAGTCTTTGATGCCTCCACCTGATTGTTAGGTATGGTTGCTAATTGACCTTATTACTAAAGATAAACCCAGAGATTTAATCTTTAAACATGAGGTGAAAATATATCATGTCTAACTGCAAACATACCTGGATTATGTAGACTTCTTCTCTGCCGTTATACCACACCTCAAACTTTTTATGGTCTCCTTTAACATTTTCTGTTATTCCCACTGAACTCATCTAGATGGTAAAGAAGAGAAAAAGATGCAGGAGACATGAGCAGCGATTTAATAAACCAGCTTCTGTTATAACTACTGTATCTGCAGCTTTCCAGGCTTCACTGTCTTTATCCACAACATGATTTATGCTGGAGAAATGATTAGACTCATAGATATAGACAGAATAGATTCACCTGCCCACTGTAACAAAGTCACTACTGAATGTGTTCTTAGTAAAGGTTCGAAGTGTACGGTGATGAGTTAGAAGGACAAGACTTACACATTTCATTTGTTTTTTTTAAGGTTCAAACTTCTCCTCAACCACCAGATTTTTTAACGTGTATAATATTCAAAAGTTAAGAAAACAAAGGATCTTATAAGTCATTAAGGGCGGCAGCTGGCAGACAGGAGGCGTCAGTCAGACCCTCCAGGACAGAGGATCCCAGCCAGTTCCAGCTGATGACTTTTGCCAAGTTGCATCATTTTGTGATGGTTTGTCATGTGACATCTGTAAATCTTAGTCATTTGAAAACACTTCAGTTTCTGCTCAGCAGAGACGACAATTCAGCCGTTGCTGAAAATCCTCATTCATTAGCAATGACATTTCCTGCAGACATTAAAAAGCTCCAGGATTAAACAGAGAGGAGTTCCTGACCTTTAGTGAGTGCTTAAAGCTGTAGGATGGAGTCTTCTCATGGCCCTCGCTGGTCTCCTCTCGTTTCTTACAGAACAGCAGCATCTTATCGTACAGAAAGAGGTGCCTCTGCATGGGCTTAAACCGGGCCAGGTCCTTCACCTGAAACCCACAAAGTTCTCTCATTTTCTACTGCTTTGTAGATACAGTTAGCATTATTAGCATAAGGAGCAAAGAGCATAGCAGATAGCAGAAATGCTCCTTTTGAATAAGATGACCATATTTTACCCATAACAACCATTAAATAAATGATTTATTCAATATACAATCCATCCATATTCTCCTGTTTTCTCCATCAGCACTGGTAACTATCTCAGGAAGTCCACCCTGGACCGGTCGCCGGTCTGTCGCAGGGCAACACAGAGACGTACAAAACCTCCCAGCCCCCACACACACTCACACACACACACACACACCCACACTCACACACACACACACAC